TACCGTCGTCGCTGCTGCTGCTGCCGCTGCCGCTGCCGGATTCCATTGGGTACGTAGTGCAGCCCCAAGTGGTTCGTCTTTCATCTGTCTTAGTAAGGTTGCATCTTGGAAACCAAACATCATACTGGCGTTCGATACAGAACATTTACTGCCCTGTTGAAATTCTCTTCCGCTAACGATACCGATCTGACGTTACCGCTGCCTGTGGCTTGGAAAACGTGAAAAGTCGCTTAAACATTCAACCAGAAAAACTTCCCTCTCTATTGCTTGATTCCTCGATATTCTGTCCATATATTTGCGTCTGTCTATGTCTGTGTCTGTGTGTGTGTGTGTGTGTTTGCATCTGCTAAGGCTCTATCTATTGGTTGGTGTTGACAAAAAACCCCGCCTCTCGGGATCAACTAATTCGTCGTCGAATTTTGCACAAGAAGAAAACTGAGGTTGGAGAAGGATTGCAACAAGAAGTACGCGAACTGGATAAGAAAGATTTCGTGTTGTGCTGTTGGGAAAAGGCTCGAATCACTGGGGAAATCAAAAGCTGATATGAAATCAGGCCTTCGCATTCCAACCTATCACTCCACAAAAGTCCCACCTACCGCTACCACCAATCCACAACGTCACGCCCTATAGACATTCTCTTACTGTAGTAGTAGCTAGCAGTATTCCTTCATCCTCTCTCTTCCTATCCAGCCGATCATTTTCAACTTATTCCGAATTCTCCACCTCCTACCTTCCCTCCCCTCCTCCTTCTTTATCCTATCGTTCCGTTTGTTTACCACTAAACTGTTGCGGTAAATTACTATTTATATTCATTTCTCCTAGTCGATTTTGCAGATCAGAAAATAAAGGCTTTTTTTCAATCAAATTTGAATTGCTCCTCGCTTTTATATATTTTAGCAGTAAATGATAAATTTCTTTAAGGACAGAACTTTTCATTGCTCATTAACTTTCCAAGTATTGTTTATCAAACAGTTAGTAGTTATGTTGCACTTACAATAATATTGTTTTTGTACTCCTTTTGTCCTTTCTCGACCATACACGCTTTGAAAAATGCTATCGGATGGTTTCTGTTTATTACTTTTGAATTTTTGACACATTATAACCGTTATGTTTCATATTGATTATTCTCTCCATAAGATTAATTCTGAAGTTACCAATTACAAATCGTCGAGATTCGGAGACTCAGTTCCAACAGAATAAATTTTGCGCAGTTGCTTTTGTTTTATAATTGCCTTACAACACTATTCCGATGAAACTCGTTTTATTTACCTGGACCGAATTTAATACTACATACTTTCTTAGCATATGCGGAGCTCTGAAAATCCACAACACCACTACTACTACTACTACTACTATATGTTTTCATTTCTTTCTATTTTTTATTCAGGCCACCGATCATTTGCTTCCTTACGTGGCTGTAAATTTTCTAGGAGCTAAAATTTCACTCATAAAAACGAAAGCCTATGTGCAATAAAGCATTATGTGTTAGTGATTTACCTTCTTAATACGCTGCCAGAAGATGAGGATTTTGAGACTTGTTGGATTCAAAGGCCTTCACTTCAAATCTGAATCAAAAATTAGATTCAGCTTTACCATTAGAAAAAATTGGTGTGACGCACTTTGAATTTAGTTAGGTGAAATTTAGATCGTTGCAGAATTTAACAGTTTGTTAATTTGAAATACCAACTGTAACACAGATTGTGCTGAAATTACCTGCTATTAACAAAAGTAAGTAATGGCAAGTTAAAAATGTAGACCGACAAAGCAGGATATTTGAAGTAATGTTTGAGAAGTAAGTTAAAAAGAATAGCCGAAGATGGATGAAAGGAAAGAAATTCAACGAATAAGTCATGTGGGAATTGAACCACAGAACCAGCTATTCTATACGAACTAATCAAATCGAACTAGCTGATACTTAACAAAGTATTCAGATACATTCGCAGGCATCTTTTCAAAGATAATATTAATCAAAATCAAAAAGATGTTCAGCGGCGTTTATGTGCATGCAATAGATTGAATTTTGTTTTTTGTGGTGTTTAAGAGAGGACATCAGGAGAATTCCCATAGCTTTCAAGTGCTATCTTACTACTACAGATATTAGCGAGAAGACTCTTTTATTTTGTTTTAAGTAGAAAAGTTGAAACAGAATGAATTGCATGGCAATCACTTAAATAAGTTGTTTCCACTAACAGATCACAAATATTGAAGAATAAATTTTGTTCTGTTTAAAATCGGTCTGCCGAGGATCCAATGACCAAGTGCAATCTGAAAGTGTGCAGAAAAGTTTTTCAAACTTAATTAGAGACAGCTTTATCAGCCGTTACAAAATCATTGGAGAAGAAAAGTAAAGGAAAAACAATTTTTCCAGAAATAGTTCATTTAAACATAATTCCGCTCGTCATTTTCACTGACTCATTCATTTGATGTAGCCAGTTTGGCATAAAGACTTTATTTAAGTCAAAATACTGTAAGATTTGTGACATTTTAAGATAGGAGGTTATGAGGAACTTTTTTTTTGATTCAGTCAGTGTGCCATACATTGGAATGCCACACTGATTGAATCAAAAAAAAAGTTCCTATACATTGGAATGTAAAAGGCCGACATCCGTCTACCTGGAATTTAATTTATTTTTTCATTTTCATTAAATTTTTACTCTTTCCACCATACAATGACTGATAGGTCATTGTAACTCATGGTTCAACTTTAGCCTGAAATATGCTGCTCCGACCCCACTACAAAGCGAATTCAGGTTGGAAAGAAAGTTCGTAATGATGGATTGTTCGTCTCTTCAATGTAATGAGTATTTAAAAAACAGGAAGCTGCGCTTGTCCTCGTGTTACTATTCACAAGACACTTTTGGGTTGATTACAGGATTTGTTTAGGACAACTTATTCAATTTGACATACAAGTTCGAAAGTTAGGGCACATTTTACTACCTATAAGTATTTGCCATAGTGAATAACACTTTACAATATTCTTCAAGGCGACATTACTTCTTCCTTATTTTATAATATTTGTTCCAATAATTGAATTTGATAAATTCTCCAAGGAAATGCCTAAAACATTATTGAAAACATTCAGCATCAAGCGCAAGTCTCCACATCTTCCATGATACTTTTAATGGTAGTCATCAGACAGAAGAAAAGATTAGCAGAAGTTAAGTTGGATAGGAATCTATTTTTCTCTATCGGCTGCATATTGCAGAAGGCAGCAATAACACTTTCATTGTTTGCTGATTACAAACCTGCTTATCATTTCTTCCATTCGATGGCACAATACTTAAGCATCATTGCTGTTCTGGTCTAAGCAACTATGTTATTCTCGTATCAAATCCATAAGTTGTGATGATTAGAACATTTGTCAGATTTATTTCCTGTAACTGAAAGGGACGTGTGTTTCCTTGGTAAATTGGCGTGAAGCCAGCATAAGAAGAGCTTGTGAAGAATCACTTCAAACATGATTACGGTATACAATTTAAGATTTTCTAGCAATGCACAATAATATACGGCGAAATGCTCTTCGAAATCTTTTGTCGATCATTGTGCAAATCAACGGATTCAGTGATGAATTTTGGAACCATCAAAAAGTCAATAGTAAAAAGCTACTTTTCCGATAGTGATCTCTCCATTTTCTAAATTTGGATCTTAGAATACTTTACGAAGCTGGAATTAAACTTAGACTTACTAGCCTAACAAGATGTTAGGAAAAGTGCGTCAGAATGAATACATTTATTGGACACTTGGAATATGCAGATGGCGTCAATTGTGTGTAACGTAAAAAATGGCAACCAGCAAAACAGGAACACAGCTGCAAATAACCGAAATCACACTTCATTGAAGCGTTTTTTCAAGTGCAATGATCAGACCAAAACAACGAAACATTCCTAGCAGTTTAAAATTCTTCGAAGCAACATTTGAAATACCAAGTACTACGGCCAAAGTTATTGTTGCTTTCTGCTCATGTTTTCATTTCCGGAGCGCTTTTCTCATAAGCCGTCTCTGTGATCGCTCTCGGGATAACCATTTTCTAGCCTTTACTAATTCCATCACATTGTGTCCATTTGCTAAGCAGCCAATCGTTATGCTATTATTTTTCATCGGTAAATTAAGAATGTAAATGAGCGTTACCAGTGATACTTTCTTCAACATTCAGAAATTGGCAACAGTTTTGCCTTTAAAGTAATGCATAGCTCTGTGAATTAACTTTGGCTCAACACCTAACTTTTGTCAATAAGCGAGTTTTAATTTAAAATTCTAAAAATGCAATAATAGGAGAAATATCACAGGCCCTATCCCAAATGTTACAATAATACGAATAAAAGTTAAAGTTATGGCTTAAATTACGCACCAGCTAAAGCAATCATGCATCCCAATATCTCATTTTTTCTAGAATTTCTTCAAAAAAATTAATACTTTGGCAGTTGATTTCAAAAGTTTTTTATAATTGGTAGGAGGAAATCTATGACATTGATTCATCGGAATACGCCTGAATAAAATGATATCTGAGAAGTTGCAATAATGATTTTCTTAATCAAATCAAACTAAGCTATCACCTGTTACGAGCTGCAAGAGAAGTGGCCACGTACTGCTGATTGCAGGATGAAAAGTAACACTTTCTTTCCTCCATTGTCACACCTGCTTTGATTTTTTCCACATTTTGCTCTCACTGTCACCCCAATACTGCTTGCACGGTGAGCACTGCTGATCACAGGGGCTGTCGATATGAGGTAAAAAATCAAACTGCTTACCAAACGATCTGGAATATAATTTTGATGAATGAATTGAATTCAAATAATTTTTGAAAATTAAATTATTGACAACATAAGTTCGTTGAAGAATACTTTGGAGCTAATTGATAAATTGAGTTCAACAAATAAATAAAGAAATATATTTTATGATGGCTATCTCTAAAAAATAAAGTGCTTTCAAAAGTTAACGTTGGGGATGAAAAAGGTAATGTAAAATTTTGAAGAAAAAAACAACTAACAGTATTTCTGGTTTCAACCCATATCTTGCTTTCCTCGTTTCTGCAATGCTTCACATTTCTCCGCAATATGGGTTGAATGCAATTCAGTGATAGGCAGAGTAACGGTTCTCATACTTCGGTCCTGAGATGGTGAAAGTAATGCTGAAGGCATCTGAAGTTATAATTTTGCTACGCTATGCATGCTACTATCACTGACTTCTTTTCTTTTTACTTTTTATGAACAAAAATTTTTTCAAATTTAGAGTCCTTTTCATTGTTATTAATGAAAAAAGTTTATGGCACTTTGCAGTCATTGTTAAATTCTGTAATTCTTACATACTAATGCAAATTAAAATTGAATAATCAGTCTGTGATCGGCCAAAACAATCAGTGAGTGGCTTCTCTGAGCTTCCCTTTTAGAAGCTAAATTTGGACTCTTGTGGGCAATGTGATGAAACCCTTGAACGTACCCTTCTTCGTTTACAGCAAAATGTAATTATTTTTTCAAAATAAAATTTGGTCACAAATAAGCTATATAAACACCACTACCAGTCTTCAGTGCTGCACTCCTTTGATAAAATTTTTTTAATCTAGAGAAACTAAATAAATATTCACCTGATCTAATTTGTTTTCAAAAGCCTATTCAGAATTTTTCTTCCAGAATTTTAGATCTTCTGAACTGCCCGACCTGCTACCTAATTTTCTTTCCTGTTATAGAATCCTTTCTTTGGGTAGAAATAAAGAAGATATTGAATTTTCATGACGAAAGACCTGAATGGTAACGCTGGATTCGAAGTATAATTGATTCGATTTAAAATGCTTCTCATACTGCTCAGTTAAATGAGCGTTTCCTGTAAGTAAGTTAATATCATGAGAATGAGATTAGGAAATTGAGATAAGAGAGGTAACTTCTAGAAGATAGGAGACGAATGAAGAGGACCAGACAGAATCTTTCAAAACATCTTTTTGCATGAAACTCAGAAAATGCATAAACATTGGAATGAACTGATGAGTTATTTCAAGGAATGATAACCAACCGGTTAACGTGTTACAAACACCGCTCGGAACTGATTGACGGTTCCCATACTTCCACTGCTTGTCTCTCCGTCGTTGGTGTAACCGACAGAGTATTACCGTATGAAGTACCACAATTGTTGCACATGGTAGAAAGAATGATAACAAGGATGATATGATTATGAAGAAAGCATTTGTGAATTCGCAGTGCTGCAAACACATTCGTGATAAAATTTTCATTCAGATGAAGGAAACGATATCCAGGCCCATTTCTTGGGTGTTTCAGTTGACCTGTATAATACTGCAGCGCAACAAGCAGTAAGAGATAATCGGTTCACCAAAAACAGCAGCAAACTAACATCGTCTGCATGACTGTTTATTCCTAACAATACAGGTAAACCGACAGTGCAGGAAGTGATCCAAACAACAGAAATCATCATTTTTGGTCTCTTCCATCTGGTGTCGAGTTCTGCATAAAGGAGTGCCCCGTGCTACTGCCATATACCTGTGATTCATTATAAGCAACTCTATTCATGTCACATTGATCAATTGATGAGAATTGCTATTTTTGAATACCTGAATGGAAATAATAAGAAGGTTAAGTATGGAAGCCGTTGAAAGCGCAACATCAATGGCCATATACAAATTACAGAAAAATGGTCCAAGATCCCAAATGTATGAGTTGACCTGGAAACTTTGGAGGCTAACGAAGAATAAAAAGTATGAATCAAATTATATTTAAAGGTTTTGTCTGTCTAGTAAAACTTTCGTTAGATACATAACAGGATAAGCCAAATATAGTTTAAAGATAACTATCGATATAATATCATTGCAGCTGCTATCATGCAAAACGGTTTTCCAGATTTTGTTCCAAAAGATTCTAAATGTTCAAAACTTTTCAAGATGCCAGAAAAAAAAGAATAAAGAAACAATGAAAAAAATTAAAATAAAACCCGATGTTATCTTGTAAATTAAAGATCTAAGACCAAGATTGGATTTGAAATTTTTTGTAATAATTTATACTTTCCATAAGGTGACGAAATTTTCGCAGCATTGAATTAGTTATTATCTGTTCACTGATTCAATGCCGTAAGGACTTTGTCCTCAAACGTTCCGGTAATATAAATTTTTTTCACAGCACATTAATTTTTCAAATATAAATACGAAAATTTTGAATGAATATTTGTTGAACTGAAGTTAGACATATGACATGAAGAAGGAAAAGCTGTCAAATTTAGTGTTTATCACTGCAGTCTTTCCCTTCTACACTGCTTTTTTAACCATACCTGGATAATTGAAAAAGCAATATAAAAGTAGAAATAATTACACTTTAATAATGCTTGTCTCAAAATATTCAAGCAAAAAAATCATACTTTACAAAACCAAGCAAAAACAAGGTGAAGCGTAAAAAGCTTACAGAACTGATTGGCGGTTACTTAAAATGGATTTTAGAGAAGAGAAGCAAAGAAAGATTGTATTTTGTCTCAATATGAACAATAAGAAATATACCTCAAAATATGCGGCAAATGACATAACACATAGTGCTATCTAAAATATTATAACTTTAATGCTATATTTTACCACTTGAGAAGCAGCAAACTGCTTGCCTGCAGGAATTTGTGCGTTTGTACCAGCTATGATAAAACACAAATATTTCTCTCTTCTTCCAGTAATGTTATTTACTGCTTAGTTTGCGATTGATCTCTACGGATGCTAAATATTTGATTTAGTTCAAAACTGCTAAAGCATTTGTTAATCATGAAAATTCTCATAATTCTTGTTCAATTCAGTGATGGCAATGTGGAAGATCACCTTAGAATGATGTGTATTCCACAGAGCTTCTCCTCTGAGATATGGTAACGTGGAATCGCTAAGGATTATTTAAATCTCACCAAAAAATCAGCAGATGCCAACAATACAAGAAAATGATTGATAACGCTGTGTAAAGAGCGTTCACGAAATACTGCAACAATAACCAATATATTAATGAACGCAGTGATAAATGGTATGAGTAGAAATGTAAATGCAATGGATCGCCGAAAACTCCAAAATGTCGTTTCTGCTTTGACCATTTTCGATAATTCATTTCCATTCTCAGTATCATTCATGTATTTTCCATTTTAATTCATACATATTCCGAAAAAGCATTTGTTTATAAGTAACTCCCTTCTTCCATTCACCCAACTCTCGAACAGAGCTAATGTGGAATGCCATCGGAAAATCAGTGTTTCTGCGGTGCAGACAATCATCTATATTGCTCTACTCCATTCATGCAACAGTAACTCCACTTACTTATGAATCCGTAGCTTATCAAAGTGACCGAAATACAAGTACATATCATTGTGTACGTCTGAACGAAAATAGAACTTACTTAGCATCAACTATCGTGCTTCGAATGCAACTGTGGCAAGCATCTAATAGTTGGTCCAAAACATATTCGCTTGCTTTTACTGAATTGGACTTTGATGGCAGTAACATCTGAAGAAATCTCTCCATCTATCTATCTATATATAGAGATATATAGATATATGTATATATTTCTCGAAAACTATTCCATCTGATCGTTTGTTGGCTCTTTCCTCATTTACCATTCTGTCCCACGTGTGGAAATTTGATTATTAAATGTGTGGGTTATTGTGCAGGGCGGTGTTTCGATAACTCTTAAATGATAAATATGGGCAGAACATTTAATGACATTTGCATAGGATATTTTGTCACCGTTAGAGAAGGTACGTTCCAGAAAGTACCAGTGTTAAAGTCGGATGTATTCGGAATCAATTTAATTGCCAATGAAATGTTAAGTGTAATAGTCATCTGAATATTTTTAAATTCGTCAACGTATAGTTCGTGAAAAAATTTTTGAGCAATTATAGTACTTCTAACATGAAGACTTGAAAGTAATTTAAAAACAATAAATATGCTCTTCTTTATGTGCCTTGTGAAATTATATGTTAAATTTTTGAGGACCTTTGAAACAGCTAAAGATCACTTAAGAAAATTATTACAACAATTGCTTTCATGACAGATGAAAGTGTCGAAATACGGAAGTTCTTTTCAGGAGATCTGAAATTTCACTTATACAATTTAATACCTGGTGGATTTGAAGAAAAACGAGTGCAATTTTATGCTGCTGAAATCACTCTCGGCTTGCAACATTTACACAAGGAGCATATCATTTACAGAGACCTAAAACCAGAAAATATTCTTCTTGATGATTATGGTTGTTTTAGTTTTATTTGTTCGTTTAGAAATTAAGTGAACAGAAGTGGAGAATTCATCACACCTTCAAATTAAATCCCATTTGGTAATGTGGCACAGAGGTTTAGATACAAGTCTGCCTGACACGAACTATTGTTTGTTGCCCTTTAATGTTCACTTCATAAGTTGCTCGGGCTTTCATTGAGAGATTGGTAATTCAGTTACGTTTTAGGGCATGTCCGAATATCCGACTTAGGACTTGCAGTTGAATTAAGAGATAATGAACCTATAAAAGGACGTGTTGGCACAGTTGGCTATATGGGTGAGTTAGTTGTAACGTTATTTTATTGCTGATGAGATATCACTACAAGATGCAATTGTGTGAACTTCAAAAGCTATTATGGAAGTAATTTGGCATTTTCGAGGTGGCACTAAAGTCGAAATGCATGGCGCAAATTTATGTTTTTCAAATTGTTAAATATTATTGCTAACATTAATAAGGGTAATGATTTGGAAACTGTCCTTGTATGCATTAAGCATATTTATACGACTAACATAAGAATATTTATTGCAATTTTATATTATTTGCAGTTATAAAAGTAACACTCATTGTCTGATGTGATGGCGAGTTGATATAGCCATAGCTGCTAACAGGTCATTCTAATTTCAGATTTGTTTTCTCAGCGTTACTTTTTTTTTGCATATTTCAGCGCCAGAAGTTATCAAAAATGAACGTTATTCATATGGTGTCGATTGGTGGGGATTGGGCTGCCTAATATATGAAATGATGGAAGGAAAGGTCGACGATATTGCTGCTATTTTCTTTCTTTTTAAAATAGTTTTTGTAGTGTTGCTGTTTCATTATGATAGATTGTTGAGACTGCTTTTTGTTGCTATTATCTGTTTTATTATTTAAGGCGCCTTTTCGGCAACGGAAGGAAAAAGTAAAACGTGAAGAAGTGGAACGACGAGTCCGTGAGGATCAAGAAAAATATTCGGATAAATTTAGTGAATCTGGCAGGACTATATGCAGGTAAAGATAGTCACATTTCGCTTCTTTTTCTTGATTTAGATACTTCAGAATAATGCATGAGATATTTGAAGCTCGATAAACTAAAAAATATTGTAAAATGAAGCGAATCTAGATGTGTAAAAAGTGAAATTACACAGGGATCAAAAGCGTGTTACTATTTAGATTAACAAAGTTTCATTTAAAAGTAATCTTGGTTACCATCAAAATAATTTAGTTATTTAGTATATTAATTGGATCGATAAGCTGAATAAATAAATTAATGGCTATGAAAATTTTTATCGATTTCCATAAAATAATTTAGTTCGGTTGGAATGGGAATCCTAAATTTACTCTAAAGGTTTAGCTGATTCTTTTAAAAGCAGGCAAAAAAGTTTAATCTGGTTTTGTGAAAGACGGGTTACGCTTTTATTGCGGTCGGGCACGCATATTTCTAGCTTGCCTATGTCTTTTTAATTAGTCTTAGTTACGTGATATAGTTATGCGTATCAAATTGTTTATGAGATTGAAAACCACAACGTATGATCGTATGAATGACTTTTACTATCAACTTGAATAAACAAAGTGTTATTTAAATTATTATTGTCATTAGCTCATATCATATTTTATTTTATCATCTAAGTAAACAGATTAATTTATAGAAATGTCTGTATTTAGTGGTATAGTAATTAATTAATTTATTTATTAATTTTTCAGAGGTCTTCTACACAAAGAACCAGGCTTTAGACTTGGATGTCGCAGAGTTGGTAAACCAGAAGAAGGTGCTGAAGAGTTAAAAAGTCATCCTTTTTTTTCACAAGGAGATGTGAATACGGGTAGGGAACCAATTCCTTGGAAGAAAATGGAAGCTGGAAAGGTATATAAAGGCAAACTTTTAAAGAAAGCGTTTAAATGAATGATAAAATGGAACGATCAATTTTAACATAACTTCGCTCACTTAAAAGATTTTAAATTAAAGTAAAATATATGTCCTATTTCCTCCACCCATCGATATTACATTGGAAGAGAGAGCTGAAAATGTGCACACTAATGGGTAGATTTTATGCATGCTCATTTCGCTTATCATTTTGTTACTCCATTTTTACCTTATACTCTTCCCTTTTAGGTTTACTTGTCCTAACGGTATGATTGTACTTGGGGCTAAGACTGATAACGGAAGATGGCTTTCTATCTTTTCAGCTATATGAAATCAGTGAAGAATGCCAGCACCAGTTTTGATCATTATATAGTTATTACCATTATATTATGAAGTTGTGGTTTATCGCAATGTTTT